AGCAACCGTGAAGCGAAGGTGGCGGACACGACGGTACGAGGAGAGTCGATCGCTGGAGAGACAAGGAGGAAACGAGGCGTCCGCGTTTTATGGGTGTGCGGTGAGGTCGTGGAGGAGGCACGACGAACGCGTGAGGGATCGCTGGGCTCGGGAGGAGCCTGCCAGAGGGGCCAGGGAGGGTTCGTTATCGAATCCTAGGATCGCCAGGCTCGCACGTACGGCAACCGCAACCGGGGGAACCACAGTGGACGCAAAACTCGAACGCTTTGGGTTCTCGCGTGCATTCGTGCGGCACGGCTGTTTTCTCGCACGATTCGAGCCACCGCTCCTCCCACCACCTCTTTGCCACTTGTTCCTATCCGACGTTGGGCCAGCCGCGTCGCGCGCATCTAATTAGAGCCACGATGAATTTCAATCAATTAGAGAACGCGCCGCGCGGAATGTCCGATTTGTGGTCTGGGTTACGTAAACGCGAGCCTAGGTTAGCAACCGCGTCGACTGTGGAACTGGAGTGGATTTGGTAGGTCAAAGGGACAAACGATGTTATCCAAGATGACATCGATACGCCGTGATTATAGATTACGTATTGTATCTTTTAATTAACAAGGAATTTGTCAGATCTCGTAATCGTGACTGTGGATTTGGTAGTTTGAAGGGCTGCACGATGTCATCTGTATGGAGAGATTATAGATTACGTATCTTTTAATTAACAAGGTCGATTTCGTAATCGTCAGACTAGGTTTGCGAGCACGTTCGTTGCAGACTAAAATTGCATACAAACTCTTTGTATACGATGCTCGGTAACGCCTTGCTATTTCTCGACAGCGTTCTGCGAATCAGTGTAGTGTATTGTTTTGTGAAGAGCGCTCGATAATTCATTAATTTGTGGCGCGTCGGAAGAAATAACGAATAAGTATTCAGATCAGGGAATGGTAATGCATTTGATGTATGGACTTGGTGAATGCAATCAGGCGAAGCAAGACGTCTGTATGCGAAGCGTTTCCTCGATAGACGTCTGCCAGACGAGAGAACGTTTCAGAGAATACGCGAACGCCTCTCGGGGCACAGGTTCGTTTAAAAAACGAGTGTCACGCAGCGGTAAACCGGCCAATATAAAAATTCTTAATGTCGAAGAAATAATGGTGTCGGTATCCGGAGAGTTACAGCAATGGAGAATAGGCGAAGAGTTACCTTTTGTACTTGGTTACTGTAAATAACCATCGATGAACATTTTGTATTAGCTGTATCGTTTACCAGGATTCACCAGAATTCACAACTCTCGTTATTGGGCTGTAGAAACTCCATATATTGTTCTTTAATTCAGTGTAAATATATGAATAGGAATAACTGGCGATAATCATCAAGTGAAATTAAGATCTTACTTTCGGTAGAAGTTTCCCATGGAGATGGGAAGATACAGAGACGCGGATCTATAACTCAACGTGTAATGATCTAACCACCAGGTTTCTTTTATAATAAACCTCACCAAGCTGAGTATCTATGAAACTATAAAATTGATTTCCTAAAAAAAAACCTGGCATCTGGTGATGATCAGGAGACAGTATGGAGGCTCGAGAGGCAAAGATTCTAAAGCTACGAAGGTGCTGTTCAAGTTATGCAGCTTGTCTAGAACGACACCAAAGTTTAAACGCATTCTAGAGTCGCTCGTTGAAGTTCCTCGCGGCGAGGAGTAAACCTAAAACTTTCAGGTCAAAGGAACTCGAAACTAACCAACGCGAATCTTCTAAATTTGATAGGTCGAGTACTTGACTACCTTCTGCATCTATGTTTTCAACATAGTTATGTATCGTTTCTTCCGTATGAAATTTCTTTTCTTAACACGTTGACTACCAGACCAAACACCTCAAATTGTCCACGAAAACGAAACCTTGACTCGTTAAAATTCAAGAGCCCTATCTAGATTTCTTTCAATGTGTTAAAATGATGCAAATACTTTTCAACTTAGCTGGATGACGAAGGCGACAGAGTTTGATGGAATAAAATGCGTAATAAAATGATCGTGCAGCCCTGAGGTTGGGAGCCTAACGGAGGTTGTTCACTCGCGACGTCCACTATAGCGAAAGGGTAAAGATCGCGAACGGTACTCGAGGTTCGCGTTTCTCGGAAGGAACCCGCCTCTATTTCCGCGGGTTCGCGAGTTCCCGTCGCAGACGGGGGGGAAAAAATGAAAGAAATCGCGACAAGTCTGCTCAGGGAATCCCGTTATTTTCGCGTGGGGGGAGGGGGCGAGCTCGCGGGCGCGGGTGTAGCTGCCAATAAATCAACAAGTACGCATCGCGTAGGTCTTCACAGTCTGTTGCTCTCGCATTGGCGGATACCTCTATCGGCTTGGTCGATACACACACCGGCGCGCGCGGACACGTGGACAGAAACGGGCCGAAAGAGAGCTAAAAAGGGAGGCTGAGAGGCTCATGATTTATCTCGTCGACGGCTCGAAGGCTTCGGGGGCCCCTTGGAATTTCTGGTGGCGGGCCGATCTGCCGGCAGTGTGGACGGACGTGGTTGGATCCCGCTCGACGAAAGGGAAGTCGATCGACCGGAATACGTCGACGGAACGAACTGATTCTTGTTGGTCCTCGCCGGGCCATTTATCGCCCTGACAGATGTTTTCGTAGAGCGGTGAAAACCGTGAGCAATTCGTGGCCCGCCCTTCGACGCGTCCGCTGTCGCGTTTCTCTAAGGAAGCCCGGTGGCAGCTACTTTGGTCGTTAGGACACTCGCGACAGATACGACGTTCACTATTCTACTTCGGAACCCCTATTTTTAACTCCTCTTCTGCTAATTTTTTGACTGAGAACCGTACAATTTTTGAGCAAGCACTAAATTTTAGTCGAAACGAGATTAGAGAATACTGGGATCATATCCTGAATATCAGAGCTTAATAACTTTTGAATAAAATGGAGTCTATTTCATAATCTCAGCTAGTCTACATATTTGATGTCCTCACGAACAATGTTCAAAGACGTTAATCGAAAGCCCCAGAGCTATTTCAATCTCGACGAAGCTTCGTTATTACGTAGGAAATATTTTATTTTAGTCGAATCCGATAAAACGGAAGCGGTCGTTGGTATCGGTATTAACGATAAATAAAGTCGTTCTCGTCGACGTCGCCCGGAACCGATCAAGACGTCCGCGTTTTATTTTCGCGTTATTGTAACCCTCCAGTTCGCCGAAACGTCGTTTCGACCGATATTCAACTGGTCACCTGTTGATCGCGGCCGTACGACTTTGCAGCACGCCGGAAACAAAAACAAATTCGACGTTTCCGGCTGTAGGACCGGTCCTGCCTACCGTCCGGTTCACGCTATTCCTCTTTCCTTCTGACATATGATTCGCCGTACTAATTGGACCTTTATTATGCAAATGCCGGCCTGTTACGATTGTCGTACGCGAGGACTGCAGATATCGCTCAAGATATATGAGCTATATCTATGTAATAAAATATCGATATATTTTATGTTGCAAGTTAGTTGAAAAGAGAAATAAATTAAATTATCAAGATATAATCATATTAAATTGACGCGATCTAATTGATTTTCCATTGTGAGAATCTTCAAGAGAACTCTAGTCCTCTAAAAAATGTAAAAAATATAATCATAAGTTTACGTGACTTCAGAGACCTTCTGGTGTAAGTTTTGCAAAAAGCTCACGAAACGACAGTGAAAATCGGAATTGAAGAATCGCGGATCTCTCTTAATCGCTTTGGAAATTCGATAAGCCGAGGTCCTTCCAATCCTGGGAATTAAGAGCGTCGTAAGAAAGTCTCGCACGCTTTAATTACCATTCAAGCCGGAGGGCCAGAGAGAGGCCTGGCTCATGCAAGTATAATTCTCTCTCGAATCGCTCTCTTCCTCTCTCCTTCGTCTGGCCAGTGTTACGCGACTCTCTGTACGCCTGGATCCCGAACTGGCGTGACGTGCACGCAAAAACAGAGGAAAACTCGCTGGGGAAATGCGTTCGCCTATCCCGTCGTTTCTCCCCTGTTCATCTTTCACGCCTTTCTCTCCCTTTTGTTCCTCCTGGGTGGCCCAAAGGATACCAACGGTTAAAAAGAAATTAATAGCTCGAAAACGCAAAGAGATATTCTCCAATCAAGCGTAATGGTCGAAGTATTATATTCAACTGTTGATTTGATTTTAGAGTCGTGGTAAACGCTTCTCCTTTAGAATGCCCCTATAGAAAATGGCATCTAATTCGAGTCTCCCAATAACTCTCGATTTAAGTTTCGAAAACATAACAGATCAATTTTTTTAATTTCTCCAACGATAGAATATCAAATATCGTGACATCCTAGCAGTTCAGACGAAATACAATCGGGGGGTCCTGAAAATAGTATTCCCCGTGTAAGTTGCTCGTTAAAAAAAGGAGTGCTTGTTCCCGCTGAAACTTTGGACGTAACTTTTTGACGAGCACGATAGAGCGTCGTGCACGCGAGGACGACGAATCCACGGACGCTGGTGCAGACCAGCATTACGAGTACTTTTCTCGCGATAACGAGAGTCGGTTATGCGGATGTCCGTGGAACAGATTGTTGGCCACCGCACGCGAATCTGCGCATGCGACGCAGCGGCGAACGAGCTCACACGAGCGTCGCGGACGACCCATTTAATGCACACGTATATCCGCTGCACGTAGAACAGCCGGTTCGCTATTTAGCCCGACGACTAAACTGGAATCTCGAGATAAACGACATTCCCCGGGGCTTATCTGACCCTAACCGTGGACCGAACCGCCAACACGACTGATGACCCCGCCGTCACCGGAACGCTACGCTTCTATAGATGACATAACCCGGTGGTTTGCATACTTTTCGGTAGCAGCCGTAATCTTGATCACGTACGGACATAAAGCAGAAGTCGTTGCCTGCACGAGGCTAATATTTTTACTTCTGAAACCCTGCGAAATCGTAATTTAATTCGAGGCCATCTTTCAACAAAATTACAGCCAGATATTAACTGTGTTTTCTTTTTGTGTTTCAGATGTAATCGTGGGACGTCCAGCCGAGCACCGGTCTATCCTCCACAAAAATTTACGAATAAAAGAAATCCCTACACCCACTTAAATCGCACGTACGTTCGCTCATTTCTTTAAAAAGAATTGTCGCAAATTTGCCGCGAGGTCGAAAGCATCTCCAACGCGAAGACTCCTGAAAGCATATCAATCCGTTTCAATTGAAACACTTGAAATACGACTAACGTTTTAAATCCAGCAATCAGCATACATAATTAATATTTGAGCGCGCGTTCGTACTCACCGTTTGATGGATAACTTTAGAATTCCCTTTACAAATTTAATCGGTGCTTTATTTTAACATTTATCGCCCGGACGAGAACAAATTGGATAAATTCTTTAACAGGACACGAAAACGGTGATTCGAAACTTGTCTCGTTACGTTAATCTCAGTTTTATCAACGATGTCGTGTCCGTTTAATATCGAAGATTCGCGTTACATTCTGTGCAACAAGCTTTAAATTTACGCGAGTAAATCTAAGAAACACTTCGATACGACAGAAAATTGAAATCTTCCAGCAGACTCAGGCTACATGATGGTGGAAGTTGAGGGTTAAGGGTGGCAAACGAAGGAAATTGAGCGTCGAAATTAGGCGCCCTTAGCGCCGTGTCGTCCTGAATCGGAATAGTTTCGCGGATAAGTCCCCCGGATTGCGTCCCGTATTAGCACCAACGGCGGTGCTTGGAAGTTGATCCGCAACTCGGTCGAAACAGGGCCGTGGCTGGCGATTTAAAGTACCAAGGCGATCTTTATTACGCGTGAACGACGAAAGTACACGATGACGATGCGGACCACGGCTGGCTCGGTGCCAGCGAGAGATCTCGCAGGGCTCAGCCTCTTCATCCTCTTCCTCATCGTCGGTATTCATCGCCCCCGTACTCCCCTCCCAGCCCCGATTTCTCCATTCTTTCGTCGCCCATTCTTCCGCGAGTCGATATCGAGATGTCGCGCGACTACACGCCGACCCACCGTCTTCTTTCGACAGAATTTTGGCAATTTTTATCAACGTCCAACATCCCTTTTTAAAATGGCGATCCGGGCAAACGTCGACGGTGAATTCGATTCGTGAATTCACTGCTAATACCTCGCGAATTTGTGTTGATTTTAATATAGGAGACTCTATGATGAGTGATGATCAGTATAGTGTGGTACAAACGATAAAATAATTCCCAGTGAGTAGTACGTCTAAGTATTAAACGTCACGATTCGTAAAAAGTCGACCGAATCGCATAATTTTGGTACTCGACTCGGACATTAGAGCTCGTGTTTACATATTGTGCGTGGGTGGAGCAATTTCATTAGACTTATTTGAGTTATGACTGATTGGGTGACCTTTTGGTTCGCCTTTTCTGGGGGCGTTTACCGGGACGCTGTACGGAAATGGCGGAAGGGTTATTAAACTTTCAAAGCCTGCGCCTTCTTGAGTCTCCGGGTTCAGAAACCACAGTCAGTCGATTCGATTTATAAAGTTTCGACCTCACATTTGATCCTCTTCGGAGTATAAAACTAAACAAACGTGGTCATTGTAGCCTTTTCTAACATTGACGTTTGACTTATTTCTATTCATCATAATTTTTAGATATCCCTGATCATTTGTGCAGAGTTTCGTTGAGATCAATGTTCTACAGTCGGTACTGTTTCTTTGTTAGTAGATGTAAAGACGTTACTCGAGAATGAACGAAGTTTAAGAAACATTCCGACGTAGGAACGGTTAAAACGGAAGAGGCACGAACCATCAAGGATTCAAAGCGTACCCCGGATCGAATCGGGCTACATGGAATTGGCGGTGATTTAAATTGGCTGCCCTCTCGACCCGCTGTTTAACCTATTTACCACCGCGCCTCTGAATACGCTCTCTTCCTCCTTTTTTCCTCTCCTCTTTGCTCCGTTCGTCAGCCGTTCCCCGAACTTCGTTGCCTGTCAGTCGCATTTATCCTCTTTGTGGAGCGATCCCAGCTTTTTAAGCTCCGGGACACGGGAAACGATCGGTAGCCTCTGCCATTTTCCTCCGAAAAGCGTTCGAACAGACTTTTACGCGATGACGAACGAACTTCCTGGCTTTTCTTGCTCGCAAATACTCGAAACTAGTATATCTTCCTGTCGACCACGTATTCCTAAAGTTTTGAAAACGATTTCTGCGCTTCAAATTGTAATAAAATTTCTGATTATTGAATTTTCTTTCGAACTGCTTTCTGAGCAAAAATTACGAAAGATATACTAAACGTTACGTGGTTTCGGTTTGTTAATTGCGAATAAAAATGGGTCGACTCGCGTCGAATTATTACAAATGGGCGTGACGAATAAAAGCTTTCAGGTATCGTCGCTTTAAGTAGAAAATGAAATTTCGGTTCGCCGAAAAACGAGACGCGGGGAACGAAAAATGGCCGCATGCGATAGTCGGCGCGCCGGGAATTGTTAATTATAGTGATCCGTGTAGTTGCGATTATTTATTATGCGTCGGTAATCTCTGTAATTACTGTCGTTAAAACTGTCATTAAAGCCGAGACACACCATTAAGTTTATCTTCTGTTCACCGATGTTTTGTTGATTGCTATCAAGATTGTCGCGATGGGGATAAATGGGATTAAAAATGGAGGCGGTAGCGTGCCTTTGACGTGATAAATTAAGACGAAGAAATATCCTTGCAACTCGCGCTATCCTCGTAAGCTTCATTCGTTCTACTCAATTTCAATTTCCATTTTATTATAGAATATTTTAAATCGTTATTTATAGGATGCACATCTTATCCTTGAAGATTGAAAGATAAGATTGAAGATAGTTAGTTAGCATAAATGTTCTCAGGTCGACAATCTCAGGATTTCATTATTATTAGGAGCCCGATAACTGGGACATCTTGGTTCTTCCTAATTAAAATAATTTCTTGTAATAAAAGGATATTGAAGTTCACTTATTTCAATTATATTTAGAAAATAGTGAGATTTGGGTTGTCATATACGAACAGCAACACTCTAATTTTACTCGTTTCGTTCCAATATTTTCAAGCGTACGGTCTCGACTGTACGCCATATTGGATCCTCTCTTTCGACAATCAAGAGTCGATCGCGATCGATTTAGGAGTATTCCGCGATCGATCGCATTCGTACGTATCGATCGAGCGATACTGCAAGTTCGGCCTTAATTGACTTCGCATCGGTGGGGGCCCGGTGGCAATTAACCGGAGACGTTCGGGATCGGTTTTTGCGAAAATTTCTTAATCGCGCGCGTCTCGTGAAAGACGCGGGACGCGCCCACTGATTTATTGTCGGCCCGTCGGGACAGGTTGCGGAAGAGAAGAAAGGGAAAGAGCGCTCGCCACGCATCGAACAATCGATCCTCGGACGATGTCATTACGCCGCGATGGCCAATTAAGCCGCGACGCGTCAATTATGGAAGGTAACGGGAAATCGACTTTTACTGTTGAGACGAAGCTGATTAAAGCTCGCTTTTAACGCGCCGATTCTTGGCCTCTGTTCCTCGCGATGATCCTGATAGATAAACGTCCATCGCTACGCCTCGTCTTTCGTTTGGTTTCCTCGTTCCTTCCAAAATTCTGTCTTTATTAGGTTACGTTTACAAAAATGTTTGCATCTCAGAAACTTCTATCTACCAAATCGTATTTTATACTAGTTGGAATGTCAGCTTTCAGAGTGTAAGTCCATACTTTTGTTAGGTGAAAAACCCTGACAGTTGACCGCCGTAAGGGCAAACTGCGAATGTTCCGGCGTCGTTGGGGTTCCTACCGATACGCGAATCAAAGAGAGCACGAAAAAAGAAGCATTCGAACGAACAGAGAAACGTTTGTCCGAGGCATGAGCGATCACGATCGTTGCGCAACGGTTCGGCCGACATCGCGTCAGCGCGATTCATCGCTCCGGGTACACGCGTCGATGATTAACCGCGTATCCCCATTTGCATGCGATGTTTACACGACTGGCTAATTATGCGCGATACACGGCCGATTATTAAGATATTACGCGACCGAGCGTGACAGGAAAGCGACGGAAACAACTCGAGGGATGCGATCGAATAAAAAAATGGCCGATCGTGGGGCATTAATCGCGTCCACTCGGAGGATCGCGTGACCGACGCGTGAGAATCTTCGTCCGACGTACTGGAAAATGGAACGATTCGAAAAAGCTCGATGACTGCTCAAAACTCTATTTAGTGGAGGAGGCTAAGAGTGGGGCAAATATTTAGATAATTACTTATCAGGGTATAATCTTTTTCGACAGGTAAACGTAAACAACTACAAAGAAGATCATCTAGATCTTTCATTCATCTCTTTCGATTTGAAGTTTTGTCACTTCGAAAGAATATACAATTTTGTTGTGCCTCGATAGTTTGTCCCGATTTAGTTGTTTTCGAAGCAACTGGTACGTTACTTTTTGATGAGTATCATTTACGGGCGGTGGAAGTAGGGTGCAAGTGGCTCGATGATCCGAGCTATAGAAGATCACGGTAAACGTTACCTGAAAGTTACACCGGGTTATGCAGGGTTAACTGGTAAAGTGGTTATAATGCTCCAGTGCGTCATGCGTCGGCCTCGATGCGCTGCATATGACGCTCGCGATGCACCGCACGAAAACTTTCCAGCAGCCGTTTGTTGCAATCTTTCTGACCCGAAACGTGCATTTATCCGCGCTTATTCGATTCAATTTAATTCAATTTTAGTTCAGTAAAAGTTATGCTAGCTAAATTCGCGAGCACAAAGATGGCTACAGCTTGGGATTAAGTCCACAACCGTGTGATGGAACAGCCTGTACGTCTCGACGAGCTGTTTAACAAATATACTTCCCTTTTTACGAGGTAACTAGCTTCTCGTTTTCGAGATAAATGGGGTTCTCATAGGGTCACGATGATCGATGCACATCCAGCTTGGTAAGCATCGCGAGTACCTTTTGTCATGAGCAGAAAATCGCTGATAGAATGCTAGAAGAAGCGTCGTACCTAGAAGATAGATTATGATTAAGACATGGTCTAAAGATAGTCTGTTAACTCCGCGTGCTCGATCGATAGCTGAGAACTTTTTACAGAATTTGTGCATTATGCTTTGTAAGTTCTTATAGAGAAACGTAATTTAGACACAACTTAAATGTAAACCTTTTGTTTAGGTTCTGTTATCCTCGGCGGTCCTATAGAAATATAATATTGAAAAAATAGTAAAATGTATATAATTTGAAGTAATTTACAGTAAGAGTCTTGATTGGTAAAATAAATTAAATAGACCTTATGGAACTTCAAATTATATACCTTACTATGTAATAATAATTAGACTGCAGATGCGATGCGTTTATGGAATATTGTTATTATGTTGCTTTATGAGATATATTCTGCATACGTTTTGCATGTATTTTCTCTTTGAAGATTATAGTTTTTTTCGGTCCTCCACGGTAATGCAAGGATATTTAATTGCACGATAAAGTGCAAAATATTTTCAGAACCGTTACATTTAAGGTGTGCGACCTTTTCCGTACCATATGAGACGTTTACGCAACCAGAAATGTCCTCATATACTATTCATACGAATCGTTCCATTTGTAACGTTTGTGAACTGATAAACATACGCAGAATGTTACTGTACATATCTAAATATAGTTCTATCGTTATTAAAATCGAACAACTCCATTTTCTCCATTATCTCGATCTAAGGATACAAAGGATTCTTCTGCAGAAAATGGCATATAAAATACTTTTTTAGCATTAATGCAAGTAAAATAACATAAGTCAAAAAATAGAAAATGAAGCTACCCGATAAACGTTGTGCACGAAGTTTACAGTAACATTTTAATATGTATTTATCAAGCGTTTCGCGAACGTTACGAATAGAACGTTCCATGTGAATAGCAAATGCGTGAGGATATTTCTGGTAGCGGCGACGTTGCATAAATATCTTCAGCGCGACACGTAAAAGGTCGTGCGACTTATCTTGTTAACTGTCAACTTTTTCCCCCTTAAATTTTTGTAAAATCCAAAATATATTTGTAATCTCGACAAACGTGACAAAGACGAGGTAGTTAAAAAACCAATCGGTTAACCCTTTCGATTCTAACACTAGTCGTTACATTTACTAACAAGTTCTTACATAAATAATTTATACAAGAAAATAAAATACTGTGCATATGTCCATGTTTTAATAACGTTGTTTAGGGAGCTTCTGAGGCTCGAGAGGCTTGTTTAACTTGTTGAGCAGCCCCATCCTTGATCGAGGTTTCGGCCCAGTCGTTGTCGAACGAATCCCTCCGAAACAATACTCACCACTGGTGGAACGAACGGAGATAAATATTTGATGACGACATTCGCAGCGTTTCTTGCCACATTCCGTAGCCCGTGCTTAGAGACGCGTCGGCCTCTGTATCGCAGAAATAATCGCACGCTAATTAGACTGTCACGTGTCGGAGGTACGGAAGGTCGGGACGGACGTTTAATCGAATTAGTAAGGCACTCGAGCGTGCTGGAGGGTGCTCGAATAGAAACCCGCCCCCAGCGTGGATGGTGTTTCGATCTGTTTTGTCTCTGCGTCGTCCCCGACCCTCCATACGTTCCTCTTGGTAATCAATCTTGTCTTCCGTTCGACTTCGACCTCGTTCCGCGGCCACGCTTTTCCATTTCTCTCTCGCTTTCGGCGGGTTTGCTATTTTTTTCATCGTCCATCGGGACGATTCCACGGAAAACGCGAAAACCTGTCCGACAAAACGTTCCATGGGACTCGTACGGCACATTGGGACACCAGAAATTAAGTATAATTAAGTGGACACAATTATTTAAATGAAACAATATTCTTGTAAATTTATGGATGTGATTAAATTTTTCTTTATACAGGGTGTTCGACCACCCCTAGGAAAAATTTAGTATGGTAGATTCTAGAGGCCAAAATAAGACGAAAATCAAGAATATCAATTTCTTGATTGAGGCTTCGATAAAAAGTTATTAAAAAATTTTAAATCGTTCTAAAAAAATTATTTTTAGTTTCGGGGGTCGATTACAATCATCCTTGGTGAATAGACATACCTCCGAAATCTTACTCAGTTTCGAGAAAAAAAATTCATTACCGAAAATATAATGTCTGACCATGAATGAATGATTCCCCTAAAGTTTCATGCGTACATTTAAAACGTCATAACTTTTGAACGGATTGGAGGATTTTAATGTTTCAAAATGCAAACAACGCGTATTTTAGTGAAGAATATGTAGCAATTCAAACAATATCGAGGCGGTGCCAAATATTAAGGAGAATAGGTCTGACATGGACAGCCCACTTCTACTAGAATTATTCTCGATCTCCCTATAGCTACCTTCCAGATTGGAAAGTAACACTAGTATAAGTATTCTAAGCAGAGTTTTTAAAAAGTGCAATCACTGAAAAGATTTCGTTGTCTGCTAGTTTATGCAACTAAAAATTTCTATTGCAAGTCAGCGCAGTAGGTCTCGAGCATGCCCTTGACTCGGGCCAAAAATAGCAATGCAATAATCATCGATAACTAAAAATTTACATTCAATGGCTCTA